ATGTACTAATTCCTGTTTATATTTCAGATCTACTTTAAAAAAACAGGTTTTAAGCAGTAGACGAATCAACCATTAAGATGATTATGGGTTTTAAGATTTCTAATTAAATCTAGCTTCTCAATTTTGACTAAATTTTAAAATAAGAATATTTTAAGAAATTCAGTATTTTAAGTATTTTAATGTTAATTGTTGATATATCAGAATTTATAAGTTTATCCTTAAAGCCAAAACCTATGGATATCAAAAGGTTTGAACTGAGTTGGTAATAATTGAAGTCATCAATTGCTAAATTTCATAAGTCAAATTTGAGATTTGGGACTCGTTAGATTAAACATAAATAGAAGGCATTTAATATTTTTGAAGGAAGATGATTCCATTACATTAAAAAGCAATTGAGCTACAAAACGGTCGAAATAAATTTACATAAATATGAAGCTTTGAAAAGTACGACAGTATGATGAGGTAGGTTAATGTAAATAATTTGGTGAGAATTCCTTATTTGAAGGAAATAAAAGTTAAAGAGTTGCCCAAAATGATAGTTAAAGCAACTGAGATTATTAGTTTTAGATAAAACTTCTTGAAGAATTTTACAAAAATGATAAAGAGTTCTTTATCAGTAAATACATGATTCAGATGTATAAATCGCAATAGAAAAACATCTAATGTGGTTAATAAATGAAATTAAAAAAGAAGGAAGTTAAAATTAAAAAAATTAAAAAATGGTGAAAAAAACTTAAATAATTATAAGAACTACACTCCAGAAGAGGTATAAGACTTGGAAATAATTGATTACTATTAAATTGCTTTTGAAGGTTGGAATAATTTGATTCTTTTATAATTGTAAATCACTTAAGAATTAGATGGACTATACAAAAAACTTTAAACAATGTTTGAAACTAATAGTATTCTATCAAATTAAAAAAAAATTTAATTTAAAAGGAAAGAATAATCCATGTTGTTTTTGATGCATTAAAAATATACAATCTAACAGGTTATGACCTTTATTGCGAGTTAATATATTATTACATTTGAAATAACTCGAAAACAGGAAACTTAGAAAAATTTATGGATATTGACCGTTTTCTGCATGATTAAATAGATTTCTCAATCAGATTGGCAAGAACAATGTGTAAAAATGTAATGACGTAAGTTTAAGATAAGTAGGTAGGATTTTTTTTTAAAATGAAAGAAAACAATAACAATAACTTAATGAATTTTTTAATGATGAAGATTAATATGGGGTTCATAAAAAATATTAGAAGTTTTTCCCTTGTCTTATAACAAGTATAAAAGTTCTTTATTGCCACTGATTTATATTAAGTCTTAAAGTGTTAGTTGAATTGAAAGATTTTAATATACAGATTTTGAATACTATGATAGAAATGATATTAAAAGAAAATAATTAAGATTAAGACTGTTTAAAGTTTCTATTAAATGTATTTTTAAAATATTTAGAGAATTATAATTAAATTGAGAATTTATCACCTTTTGAAAAAAAAAGATACTTTTTAAGTGATTATTAATTCAATTACTCATTTGATCAAGACCATTAAAGAACAAGATATTAATTCTGTTAATTATTACACTAAAATCTATACGGAAACAAGATATTAATTCATTAAAAAAATATCATAATAAGAGGTTAGGATTTAATTTTTGAAATTCTTAGTTCATCTCAATAAGATAGATAATCATTTTATAATAAGCGGATCTAATGCATTAAACATATTGGTTGATCTAAAAAATAAAATTTTAAAAATTTCAGAATTACAAATACTTCTGTATTTGTTTTAATTTTGCAAAACTTAAGTTGTTTTGTTTGTAATTGGAAAAAATTAAAAATAAACTATTTATATAAATTAAATGGTCATACTAGTAATGTATAATCAGTCTATTACTCTATCCGTATATGGGATTTAATAAAAAGTCAAAATAGGATGGTCATACTAACTATGTCTAGTCAGTTTGTTTCTCTCCTGATGGAATACATTAGCTTCTAGTAGTGATGATAACTCTATCCTTCTTTGGGATGTTACAACAGAATAATAAAAAGCAAAATTGGATGGTCATAGTAGTGCTATCATGTCAGTCTGTTTCTTTCCTGATGGAAACACATTAGTATCATGTAGTAGAGATAACTCTATCCGTCTCTGGGATTTCAAAACAGGATAATAAAAAGCCAAATTAGATAGTCATACTAATCGTGTCAACTCAGTCTGTTTCTCTCTTGATGGAAATACATTAGCATCTGGTAGTAATGATAAGTCTATCCGTCTATGGGATGTTAAAGCAGGATAGGAAATTTAATCCTCAGATAATAGATATAACGATATATTGGAAAATTGCAAGATTTCATTGTTATAAAACAACCCATTTACAGGTATTTATTATTAATATTATTTAGTTATTACTAACATTCCTATTCTCTGTATATCCTAAACACCAATCTTTAAAGCTAAAGGAGCTCTTGTACTTAAGGGAGAGTTTATTATTTAGTAAAGCTTTGACTTAAGATTGTTATTAAAATCAAGAGGATGTTGCATTTTGGAAAGCAGTATGCAAAAATGTCATATTATGATATTTTAGAACATTAAAAATATAATTAAGGTTATTTCTTATTATTTTTTTAGAGTAATGATGTGTTTTTGATTTCACCTCTACATTTTATTGAAATTTGAGAAATAATTATAAAACTTATTTATTAAAGTTATTGAAAAAATTTAAAAATTACTGAATAATTGATGAATTATTTTGTAATCATCAACATAAATATACATAAAAGTGAACTCAATAGTAAAATTCATTGATTTTCTGCTTTTTATGCATTTAATTTATTCTATAGATTTCTTAACCAATTAATCTAGTATTGAACGGGGTTAATTTACTTTTTGAGATGAAAAATTACATTATTTTAACATTATCCATAATGGATATATATAAGAATACCAATCATGGTTTCCATATATTCTTCTATATTTAACTGGTTTATGAGTTCATCAAAAGAATACAGTTCAGTTAATAATTAATGAGGAATATTTTTTTTCCTTTAAATTAATTACTGGAAAAAATTATTTTGAAGGCAAGGTTATTATTTAGTTCTAACTTTTTAAAATGAAATGTTTATCATATATAGGTATTGAAAATTATTGTAGAAAGCTCCTCCTTTGAATGTATGTAAGAATCCATATAGAACTTAAATTAATAAGTAATTAAGATTTTTAGATGGTGTTTAGGGAAGATATAATTAACTCCTTAAATCTTAATCATTTCAAAATTAGAATATTTTTTTGATGATGAATTTACCTTTTCAGTCTTTTTTAATATCTAATACTTTTAATATCAATCGATAGATAATTATAAAGGTTATTAAAATATTACTAAGAATAGAGTAATTTAAAAAATTCAGTTTGTTGCTTAAACTTTGTTGTAGTAAAGATTATTTCTAATATTAACTTCATTTTATTAAATTCTTCATTTATCATTTTTCTTATCTTTGTTAATAGAAGTGTAGAAATGACTGAAATGGAAAAAACTTTATAAAATAAGAACTTACCTAGTTTTAGAAGTGAAGATTAAGAGTGAAACTATAAATGACAGAATTAAAAAAAAAATTAGATATTGATTGTAATTATAATTGTTGTTTGATAATGATCAAAATCACTTTTTCTAAAAGTCTTCTAAAAAGCAACTTCCTTTAGATTTAAATAAGGGTTTCAAATCTTTTCCTTTATGGTTTATAAATTCTCCTTATAATATAAGTGTACCTCTTGCCTCTAATTAAGGATTCTAACAAATTCTAAGTATTGTACGATCAGGATTAACTTAATAATAATAAATTAAAAATACCATTTGGTAATAATAAGCTATTTATAAGTGGTATTTTAAACTAGGCAAGAATATCTTAATATTTATTGTCAGAGAAATTCAGTTCCAATCCTGTCTTTACATCCCATAGACGAATAGACTAATCACTACTACCGGAAGCTAATGTATATCCATCAGGAGATAAACAGACTGAGTAGACATTATCACTATGACCATCTAATTTGGATTTTTATTACCCTGTTTTTATATCCCATAGGCGGATAGAGTTATCAAAACTACCAGAAGCTAATGTATTTCCATCAGGAGAGAAACATACTGA